CTCTCTCTCTCTCTCTCTCTCTCTCTCTCTCTCTCTCTCTCTTTATCTATCTATCTATCCATTTCACAGATCAAGAACGAGTCGTTCCTAGAAGATATCAACAACATTCTGAACTCCGGCGACGTGCCTAACATCTACGCGCTGGACGAGCTTGACCAGATCTATGCTGCAATGAAGCCCGCCGCACAGGACCTCTCTCTGCAGCCCACCAAGACCAATCTGTTCTCACTCTACACAAAGAGAGTGCGCAGCAACCTTCACACAGTCATCACGATGAGGTTAGGGGGAGACTGCAGGCGCTGGTGTTGGGGATACATTTACATGGGGACTCGTGTGCGTCATGGTTATTTGGGGGAATTTTAATTAAAAATACATTCAAATCTTAAAGCTACAAATTTCAAGGTAAATCGTGTTTTTGAAGGCACCTGACTTTAAGAACCAATGCGATTTATGGGGCTATACCCGTACACTCGGAAGTAACTCATCAAAATACCGTGGATGCTTGGCCAAGGTCCAAGTGAAGTCTTTTGTCTATATTTTCACCACAGTAGAAGATTTCATTGACGTGTTTACACAACTTTACGCAACAACGTCGTAGTAGTCTAAACTAGTGCTTCTCATATGCTGATTAAAACACACACCGACTTATTCGGCTTCTGGATGTAATAGCATAGAAGCTCGAGTGTGACTAGAAAAGCCCTTGTAGCTGCCAGCGTTTGATCTAAGTGTGAGCTCAGAATTCACGCGAGCCCTTTGTCATTTCTCTTGATCAATCGCAGGTGCGAGTGGTTATTAGCAGCGGCAACAAGTCAGATCCATTGAGGCCGTTTCTGTGCAATACCTAAGCTGTTTCTTCACGTGTCAGTTGTGTTCGTGACTTGGAGTACGTTATTGATGTTGTTGACCATCACGGTAACCTTTAATTTTTTAGGTGCACGCAGTGTGCTGTTTCACCGTGGGTTGTGGGACCTGGGTGGTGGGGATTGCTTTATGTTGTTGTTTTGTATGTATGTAGTTATGTTTTGTATGTATGTAGTTCTGTTTTGTATGGGTGTAGTTATGTTTTGTATGTATGTAGTTATGTTTTGTATGGGTGTATGGGTGTTTCCACACCATCAGTTCGAAATATCATACAATTTCACTCTTCAATTCCAATTCCAATCCGCAAGTGTCTTTTTGGATTAACCCCCTTCACAGCCAATATATAAACTCTTCATGTATGTTATAATGTTGTTTGTACATGTTTTTCATGCACAGGCGGGCGGTATCGTTATTTTATTGACCATCTCGCCATGTGAGGTGTGATAAAAAAAACTGAAACAAATAATGAGATTTGGCGTCATGAAATTCATCCAACCGGTAAATTGGCTGCCACCTGCGTAATCGTAAAAATATCTCAGCGTGCTCTAATACGTTTATCGAATTCTTAATGTGTGCGGAGTGATTTTTACCTCATTTTTCATGGTCAGATGCAGCTAGAGAGCTATGTTAGAAATTCTAACCATAATGTTTTAGAGTGTCGATTAAGATACAAACATCCATTCATGTTGACATGTAATTTACTGCCTTTAAATTTTTATTTCTGATAATGTTGCAAAATACAGAAATTAAAAAAACAACATTTCACAGGTTTGTGAATTTAACCTCAAATTTCAATTCAAATAGCATGAATAGAATTCATCTTCAATAGCTTTCAATAGCAATTTACGAACAACAATTACACACTTGAATATATACGTTTCGCTTCTTCAGTCCTTGTTACGATTTGCTATAGGTGTAAATTGTGTGTTTTTTAAATAAATTATGTGCAATGCATACGTATTGCAAACTGTGTGTGAAGCCTCGCTTGGCACTGTGTTGATCTGTCAATGTTTCTGCACATCACAGGGCAGACTTTGAGTGCTTCCAAATCGAGCTGTCCAAGAACTACGGCATCACTGAGTGGAAGGACGATCTGAAGAAGGTCATGATGAAAGCTGGCATGGAAAACAACTCGGTTGTGTTCTTGTTCAGTGATACACAGGTATGCAGTATATACGTTATAGCTGAAAATACTAATCTATTTATAGTAACTATTTATATATTTGCGGCGTGTCCTGCTGCTGCTGCTGCTGCTGCTATCACTTGGTCGTGATTGGTTGAGACTGGTGCATGCGCCGTAACGGGTGCTGCTGCTGCTATCACTTGGTCGTGATTGGTTGAGACTGGTGCATGCGCCGTAATCCCGCGTACACATATGGCTTACAAAAACAATTTGTTCGAGTCCTACTGACTGCGCCACGCCGGAATTCTTGAATATTGTTGATGCAATTGTTGTGCATCTTTTTAGGAAATATGCTTGTTTTTGTGATACTTTTATGAACAAAGCTGAATTTTGATGCATTTCCATCGACCTTACCGCAAAGCGCTCGGTTCTAATTTTCTTACTATTGATACAGAGGTAAGACTGATATGCAAAAAATATGCACACAAATACAGCCCAATTGGGACATTTTGTGCAGTTTTCAAAGTGTCCGTGTCTCGGCTCTCACGCGGGGCATTTTCTCACCGGATGCTGAGGCGTGTAGCGCCTCGCCTAGCTGCCGTGGCGCGAAGCACCAAGGCAGCTCGTATAATATATATAAATAATAATATACTAAATTGTTTGACTAGAATGTCAGGGTAAGATCAATTTAGTCGTTCGTCGTGGAATGACGTTGTATAGATATATACGTGTGATGAAGGTATAATCTAAATAGACGTGCGTTTATGGGATATACTCTCACGTTGTATAGACCGGGGGCAGGTGAGATTTTGTGCTCCTGCATTGCATCAGACGTCGTGTGTATGCGTGTGCGTGCGTGCACGTGTGCGTGCACGTGTGCGTGCATGTGTGCGTGCGTGCGTGCATGTGTGCATCTGTGCATGTGTGTTTATTCCGAATAACAATTTATGGCCGCCGCACTTTCTACATCTATCTATAACAGTAGCATTTGTAAAACTATACTTATACTGAGGCTAGCAACTCTTTGTCATGCAGTTGTGGTAGCGATTCATGTGCATCGCGTAGATGTCTCCGTGCGCGTACTGCGTGCACGCCTCGCTGCTAGGCTTCTAATCTTTCTTTCTTTCTCTCTCTCTCTCTCTCTTTCTCTCTCACCCTCTCTCTCCCTCACCTCTCTCTCTGTCTCTCTCTCTCTCTCTCTCTCTCTCTCTCTCTCTCTCTCTTTCTCTCTTTCTCTCGCTTTCTATCTTTCTTTCTCTCTCTGTCTCTCTCTCTCT